ATTAACCATTTCCTTTTGGTACAATATCTCTGTGTATTCCTTCCATCTTTTCTTGATGCATTCTGCACCTAGCTAGTTAAAAACCCATCAGAAAAACTTACATTAGCTCTCCCTACCCAACCCACTGCCATGGATTCAGACTCATAATGACCCTACATATAGTTTCCAAGGCTATAAATTTTTACCAGAGCAGAAAGTCTCCTCTTTCTCCCATGGAGCGGCTGGTGGATTTAAACTACTAACCTGTGATTAGCAGCCCAACACATAACCTACTATGCTACTAGTCCTCCTTATATTAACTCTCAAAGCCTGAAAGTAATCCTCTGTTCTCTGTAACCATGTAAGCAATGGCCCTGCTCTCGATGTTGTCATGCTCTCTGGGTTACTGGTAGACACCCCTGGACCCTGGGCTTCAGCTCAGTCTTCCAGGTCCACTGGAACAGTAAATCTCCTCCCTTGGCTTTGAGCAACTCCATTCTCCTAGCCCCCAAGTGGTGACCCCCATGCCCTAGGCCTCGGAAATCCCACCCCTGGCAGCCCCACACTCTGGAACCTAGTTGATAATGAACCAACTTTCTGAAACCTAGGAAATTTGGTCCCACCTTTATGAACCTCAGAGGCATGGTTCCACCCTTTGAGAGCCCAATGTGGTGGCCCCTGCTTTTGAGCTGACTTTCCATGCTCCCTATCTCTTCAACCTCTGTTTCCTGGTTCTTAGCCTTTAGAAGAGACTAACATGGCCTTTGTTCTACTTGAGCAAGTGTTACAAAGCTCTTTCACTCTACTGATTTAAGTGCCCAGTGGCATCCCACTTCATGAGTAAGTCTTAGTCTGAAGGCACTCAGCTCTCTAGCTTCATGCCAGATTTTGCTGACAAGTGCAAAAGAACGTCAAGGAAGCCTCCTTCATAAAGGAGCTCAACTTTCCTGTTCCGTGGATCAGCTCTCATGTCATTTTGTATTGATCTCCTGGTTCTGCTGCTAGTTTCTCTGCTGCTGCTTCTCAGTCTGTATCATTTCTAGTGTTATAGCTCACCTCACTTCCTTTTGAGCCCTCATCAGAATTGCCTCTGACGTCCCTAATTCCACCCAGTTTTTCATGGCAATGTAGACACCTTAGTACTTTTTCAACGTCTACTTATTGGTGTGGTGCTGTGGGCTAATGTGTCAGACTGAAAAGTGGTTTGAACTACAAGGTCGGTGGTTCGAGCTCACCAGCTGCTCCTTGCAAACTCTATACTGGGTCATTATGGGTCGGAATTGACTCAACGGCACTTAACAACAACAGCAGCATAAACTTATTATCCAATTTCAAAACTACTACCACATTTTAGATATCTGCTAAAGCAGCACCCCACTCCTGGTACCAAATTCTGATTTAGTTATCTAGTGCCAAGCATACAGTTTGGTTTATTTTTTATTTTGAAAGATATTTAAATATTCAAAAAGTTGCAAAAATAAAAGAGTTCCCAAATACATTTCACCTGTTAGGTGCCGTCGAGTCGATTCCAACCCATAGTGACCCTGTTTAGGGTTTCCAAGGAGCAGTTGCACCTAGCTTCCTCTAATACTAATATCTCACACAATCATAGTGCAATTTTCAATTATCAAACCCATGAAACGAATACTGATACAATATTATTATCTCAACTATGCACCTTATTGAAATTTCAGCATTTTCCAACTTATTATTCTTTTTCTGCTCCAGAATCTCACACTGCATTTAGTTCTCTAGTCTCTCTAGTCTCCTTTAATTTGGGAGAGGTCCTCTTATCTTAATTTTTCAAGACTTTGACACTTTTAAAGAGCACTAGTCAGTTGTTTTGCAGACTGTCCCTTAATTTGGGTTTGCCTGATGTTTTCTCATCATGAGACTTCAGTTATATATTTTGAGCAACCAAAATGACCCTCTGTCTGCCTCAGTTTGTGCCAGGAGGTACATTTCTTATTACTGGTGATTACCTGATCACTTGATTATGGTAGTGTTAGCCAGGTCTTCACTGTAAAGCTAGTAGTTTTCTTTTTCTTTTCTTTCTTTCTTTTTACAATTAATGAGCATCTTATCGGGAAGTATTTTGAGACTCTCAAACTACTGTTTTTTAATTATACTGTAGCCCCACTAACTTTAGAATTCATTGATGATTCTTGCCTGCAACAATTACTGTTGCATTGTTTGCCTATTACTGACTTCAGTTTCCATCATTTCCTCTTCTATATTTATTAATTAGAATTTCACTATAAGAAATCATTGTCCCTTCTCATCCATTTATTTATTTATATCAGTGTGGACTTATGGATATTTATTTTATTGCTTAAATTCTTCCAGGTTTGGCCACTGGGACTCATACTAGCTGGTGCTTACGTACTTTTGACATGGAATCCCATTATTTACTACTTCTTTACTTTCTGTCACCAGATGTTCCAGTAAAAACTTTCATTTATCCTGCTCAGCCCAGGAATCAACCATTTCTACAAGGAGCTCTTGTTTATTTGATTGTAGAAATGGTATGTTAAAAAGCCACGATTTTGGCAACAGATGGGTTCACTGTTATTGAGGTATCACTGCTTCTAACCCTTTCAGCAGACAGATCTAGAAAACACATGTATGAATACTAACCCTCATATGAACACATATTTATATAAATCTATTTATTTCAATGGAACAAGTATTTTTAAGTTGGTTTTATACATGGAGGGCAGAGAATATCGTATATGGGCGACAAAAATGGAACTGGGTAGAAAGTCCCGCTGAGCTGAAAACCAAGCTAAGGAAAAGTATCAGTAATATTCCATTATCTTATAAGTAATCTTAAAAACAGATTTCTCAGTATGACCAGCTATAATGATTAATGCTAATGCTTGTAGGACTAAATGTTAAGTCTAAGGTTTCTCTATTCTTATGCAAATAAGTCCTTAGTTTCACTTCATTCATTTATCAAGTATTTACTGAGCATCGACTAGGCATTGTACTTCTTCGTGTAAAAGTCACACAAGATCAATAACTTCATGAAACTTACATCCTAATGTAAAACACTGAGTAAACAAATGCTTAGACAAAACGATCTTGTATTGTGACAAGTGCCAAGAGGAAACTAAATAAGGTATATTCAAGGCAGAACACTTATAGGATGAATAAGGAAGGAGTCTCTGGGGAGACCTGAAGAACTGAAGAATGAGGGGAAATGTAGGCAAAAAGCATTGGAAAGAACATTCTAGACATAAGTGAAGGACCTTCGGTTACAATAAACAAACTTGGAATGTTTCAAGAACTGATTTATCTCTTTTTGCCAGTTGTTGTTGCTGTTGTTAAGTGCTGTTGAGTCTGTTTCCAACTCATAATGACCCTATACAGGGTTCTGACAATTAAAAGTTTAAAAAAACAAAGGACATTTATAAATAAAACTACAAAACATGACTACTACAAGAAACCAGAAGAGATCAACAAAAATGGAAGAATGTTCCATGATCCTGGATAAGAAGACTCAACAAAGTGAAAATGTCGATATTGCTCAAAGCAATTTTCAAATATAATGCAATCCCAATCCAGATTCCAACAATATTCTTCAAAGAGATGGAAAAAAATACTACAAACTTTATATGGAAAGGAAAGAGACCCAGGATAAGCAAAGCACTGTTTAAGAAGAATAAGGTTGGAAACCTCTCACACCCTGATTTCAAAATTTATTACAAGGCTACAGTGGTAAAACAGCTTGGTACTGGTACAATGAAAGATATGTTGATCAATGGAACATAATCTAGAATCCAGAAATTAACACATCCACATATAGCGAACTGATTTTCAACAAAGTGCCTAAATGGGGAGGTGATAGTCTCTTCAACAGATAATGCTGGCAAAAATGGAAAGCGACATGCAAGAGACTGAAATAAGACCTTTACCTCAAACCTTATACAAAACCCAACTCAGCATGGATCAAAGACCTAAATGTGAATCCCAGAATTAGGAAGGCCATCAATAAAAAAATAGGGACAAATGTGAGGGCTCTAATTCAGGGCATACACAGACTACCAAACATTTTGAAAACTACACAAACAAAAGTAGACAAAATAGATGACTGGGACGTATTAAAATTTAAAAAATTAAATGCATCAAAAGACTTCATCAAAAGAGTAAAGAGGGAACCCACAGAATGGGGTTTTTATCAATTAATTGCCCCCAGCACATACAGACACAGATTCACCGAGCCTACTTTGCCAGCCATCTCATAGCCATAGCCTGGAAAGCAAGTAATTTTTCCTCCTACTGAGACTGTGAACCTCAAGGTCAGCAGTTTGAAACTACCAGCTTCTCCACGGGAGAAAGATGAGGCTTTCTGCTCCCATAAAGATTTATAGCCTCGGAAACCCTGTACAGGGTCGCTATGGGTCAGAACCGACTCAACGGCACTTAACAACAACTGAGACAGAGAGGTGCCAATCCCTTCTCTTCTATATTATAAAAGCAGTATGTTCTTCTCCACCAATGAGACTTATTTACCTAACCAATGAATTCAATTTTCAAAACCTAAAGACCCTGATGAGACTTTTGCTTAACTGCTTTGAAACAACAGAGATCTACAATCACATACACATGGGCAACAGAACAAGAACGCCTGCAGACTCAAAGCTACTACACTAGCCAACTGGATAGCAACTGACCTTTGTACTCAGGAGTGAACTCCTTCATTTCAGGAGGGAGGGACTCATAGAAGCGCTGCTCCCGGGAGATGAGGGGCTTGCACACTGTGTGGTCGTCGTAGCGCATCATGCTGCTGTGTCCGCCCACCTGGTGGATGAAGGGCTCCAGGAGGACTCCCCGGTCTCCGGCCCGACTTGCGTTCTTGCCATACTGCCCCAATTCCATGGTTTGACAAACACACATTGCGTTGGGGGCCAGGTGCACACTGAGGGCAGAGGATGCAGCACATGGGCCAAAAAAGGAGAACTGGGTAAAAAGTCCAGAGGAGCTGAAAGCCAGTGCTCACAGTCTGTTTGGCTTATACTTCAGTCCTATAGATAAGAAGAAAAGAAAAGAACGAATCAGTACATTTGGCAAAACACAATCTCCCCTGAAGTTCACAAAATATCTGCTCCATGAGTAGGAAAAGGGACTCTGTTGTGTTCCCTGCTCCAGGCACTGGACCGCAAGGATACTTTGAATCACAGGTCAGCAGTTTAAACTTACTAGTTACTTCTTGGAAACCCTATACAGGGTTGACATGAGTCAGAACCGACTAGACAGCACTTAATGACAACGTGTATCCCCAACACATATAACACTATGGGGCATATAAAGGAAAGGCAATCATTTTTTGTTCAATGCTGAAACTTTAGTTCCTATCATCATTTTCTACCCAGACGCCCACATTCTCTTCCTTTTCTAGTTGTCAGATACCTTCTAAGTTTTCTACAGAATTTTACTTTAGAGCTATAATACGTTACAGTCATTAAGAAGACAACTATTCACTGTTTAACTCACATCCAAAGATGAAGATCAGTTCAGGAAAAAACAAACAAACAAATTCATTCTGTTCAGGTTTCTCATGATATCTAATACCTGGTGGTAAGGATCTCTCCCTAACTCAAAGGAAGGGGGTTTTTTTCCTGAAAAAAATCAAGTTAACACTAGATTCCCAATGATTCTGCTGAAGGTGTCAAGGACCAGGAAGGGAAGCCATTTGAGTTGTAGAATCAAATGGAACTAAGATTTCAAATTTCTTCTAGTTTAAATCTATGTATGGGTGTCACTTCATGATCACGTCTAGTACCACAGAATTTCTCTTCTGTCTGACTGGGCAAGGGAAAAGTTTTGTCTTTGTACTCAATCACCCTTTTTGTAATGTCAATTTTCTCTCAAGGAAGTTATAGTAGTTGGCAATTTCTTTAATTCTGAGTAAATTTTTTAAATTAGGAATGTAGTAGGCAGTAATACATCTGAAAGATCAAAATTAAAAAAGAAAAAAATTTCAGAGTAGGAATATGGTCCTACTTGTGAGAATAAACAACCTAAATGTCTAACAACAGATGAACAAATAATATGTGGCATATGCATACAACGGAATACTACTCAGCCATAATGAGAAATGAAGTCCTGATACATACTACAACATGGATGGATCTTAAAAACAATATGAGGAATAAAATGTCAGCCACAAAAGAACAGGTATTGTATGATCTCACTTATATGAAATATCGAGAATAGGTAAATGCATAGAGACCAAAGTTTATTAGTGGTTACCAGGGGCAAGAGTGTAGGTGAAAGGGAAAGTCATGGCTTAGGGGGTATTGAGTTTCTGTTAATGGGATAGAAAATGTATAAACAAATAGCAGTATTGTTTGCACAACATGAATATAACCACTGCCACTGAATTTTAAATATGAAAAAATATTGAGTTGACAAATGTTGTTACATTTTTTTTTTACCACATTAAAAAAAGTTTCATGCAATTTTCCATGAGTGGTAAAGGATTTACTGGGAAAGTTTATGGTTGCAACCAACTTCAAACTATAGGTAGATCACGTTGTTAACTGCTATCAAGTTGGTTCTGACACACAGTGACTGTGTATTGGGTTTCCAAAGAGCGCTGGTGAGTTTGAACTATCAACAACCTTGTGGTTCAAACCGACCTTGTAGTACAGTGATTTATCCCACAGCGCCATACCAGGTAGATCATAGGTATGTGTGTATTGCACATGTTGTTGTTGTTGTTAAGTGCCATCGAGTTGATTCCAACCCATAGCGACCCTGTATAGGGTTTCCAAGGAGCAGCTGGTGAGCTTGAACCACTGATCTTGAAATTCAAATGACTTTACAGTCTGATGCACTAGCCCAAATGCCACATCAGGACTCCATGTGTATCGTATATACTCATGCCTTAAATATCAAGCCTCCTGCTGAGGCAGATAAAGGGAGAAGGGCTTCCCTGTAGATCTTTCTCTGATTGATAATAGCCTTCCCAGACTCATAGAAGTCCACCCCTATATCTAGCTAGGTCAGGGACAGGATATGGCAAAATTGTGAAGCCAGTTCCTCTCTCTTGCCACTGCCCTCACATCCTCTTTGGGGATGTTACAGAACAGGGCAGTTAGTTTCGTTACTCATATGCAACTTCGAGGAAATAGTCTCATCTATTTGTTAGAAGCTAGGCATGGCCTCCCCAGGAAGCAGGGTAGTGTAAGAGGCATGGGACATTTCTGGAGCACTGGTGATCTATGTCTTATTCTGGGTGATGGTCAACAGATATGTTCACTTTGTAGTAACCCACCAAAGTTTTCAGATTTATTTGCATATTTCTCTATATATTCAAAAGTTCATTTCAAAGAATTCTTAAGAAAACACAGAGGAAGTTGTAAAAATGGAGTTATAAAGCTACAACCCACAGAAAATGAAGGGTTACTGACAGTCACCAGAAGCTAGAAGAGAGGTATGGATTGGATTTTCTCTCAGCACCTCCAAAAGAAACCAATCTTGCCTACCTAACCCTTGATTTCAAGCTACTGTGAGAACTGTGAGTGAATAAATGCCACCAAGTTGGTGGCAATTTGTTACGGCAGCCCCAGGAAACAAATACAGCCCTCTCTTCTCCTCTATCCAAGATCCAGTGAGGATCATACACTGCATTTAGTTCTCATGTCTCTTTAGTTTGGAATAATTCCATCATCTTTCTCCCACTGATAGTTTTGAAGAGTACAGCCAGTTATTTTTCAGAATGTCCCTCAATTTGTATTCATCTGATTGCTTCCTCAAGATGGTTTAAGAATAAATGAAGATGAAAATTACATATCATACACTAATTTACATGCAAAGTATTATTTCTTATGCAATATGCAAATAGCTAAAGGTCAATTAGCATGTAAGTAATAATGCAGCCAGTCTCCTCCTAATTTATTTTATTTTATTTTTTATTGTGAATTATGTGATAGTTTACATGGGAGAACATTAGTTTTACATTCATTCTATTGTATATCGTCTCATTGCCATGGTTACAATCCCCTCCTTGCAATCCTTCCCCGTGCCCCCAGGTCTTCAGCACACAGCTCCACGTCATCATCTCTGGCTCCATTTCAGGCATCACTGCTTCTCTGGGTAGGGTCTTGCTCTCTGCTCTTCTCCCTTGATGGTCCTAGGGACCTCCACTCCTAGACTGAAAAGTTAATCACTCCTCTCCTTGCTATAAAACGTCTACCTTTACATTTCCAATCCTCACAATCAGTCCCTAATTTATTTTAAAGTTATCTTCTGACCCACGCCATGGTATTTTCAATAACCTCATATACATGCGAAAGCTGGACAGTGAATAAGGAAGACCTTAGAAGAACTGATGCTTTTGAGTTATGGTGTTGGAGAATACTGAAAGTGCCATGGGCTGCCAAAAGAGCCAACAGACCTGCGTTGGAAGAAGCACAACCAGAGTGTTCCTTGGAGGCCAGAATGGCCAAACTTCATCTCCATACTTCGGACATATCGTAGGAGGAACCAGTCACTGGAGAAGGAGATCATGTTTGGTAAGGTGAAGGGTCAGAGAAAAAGAGAAAGACCCCAAGCGAGATGGACTGGCCAAGTGGCAGCATCAAAGGGCTCAAGAGTGACAATAGTGAGGCTGGCCCAGGATCAGGCAGTGTTTCATTCTGCTGTGCATAAGGTCGCTATGGGTCAGTAACAACTCGATGGCACCTAACAACAACAATACTGCGTTTAACTTGGGTTTAATTTTTTAAATTTGTAATATGCTTAATACAAAATCTACCTTTAAAAAATGTCAGATAATAATGACTATCATAAGGAACTATGATTTCACTTACATGGGTTAAACTAATAAAAAAGCAGCATATGTTTTATTTTTCAGCTTATGTCAACAATCCAAAAAACTAGGTAAAAAATTTCCCTGGGGAAAACTTTATAAATAATAGTCTATTCCTTGATGTGGTGCTCTAGATTAATGCACTGGACCTGCAGGGTTGGTTTGAACTGCAAGGTTAGCAGTTCAAGGTTACCAGCCACTCCTTGGAAACCTATACAGGGTTGCTGTGAGTAGGAACCAACTCAACAGCACTTAACAACAACATTCCCTATATGGAGTAAGGGTATGCCACTATAGGATAAAGCACTGGACTGTAAGGTCAGTTTGTACCACAAGGTCAGCCATTCAAACTCCTCAGCCGCTTCTCAGAAACCCTATACAGGGTCACCCTGAGTCAGAACCAACTGAACAGTACTTAACAACAACTCCCTATGTGGCAATACAGCGGAGTTTCCCATGCATCAGCTAACATTCATATTGCCCTACTATGTAACACAATACAAAATCTTTTGCTATGACAATAGTAACAAGATGGTTTTTAGACTGAGACTAAAAGAAACCAAAACTTTTAATTTAAAAAGAACTAGGTATCACACCCTGAAAATATTAATTCACGAAAAAAAAAAAAAAAAAAAAGCTTAAATGGAATCATCTGCATATTATAAAGACTTTATAAGTTCATTCACTAAAACCCATTAGGACTTGTGATTCTTTTTTCTTCCCTGTAAAAATCACTTTGCTTTGTAATTAGCACACCTCAGATAAAGAAATTCTCTCTTGTTCTCAAAAACACCATTGTAATTTCTCATTTTGCTGTTTCTTCAAACAACTTGGGTACTCCCCTCTTGTCGAGAGCTGGAGAGCAGACAGAATCCTCCCTTCCTGTGGAACTCATAAGGAATATAAATACTACAAAAACAATGACAGAAAGGAATCTAATGGTCTACAATTGTGCCACCACCACCAAACAAATCCATTGCCAAGAGGCAGGAGTCACTTCTTGGAGTCATTGCTAAACTGAAGAAGGATAAACAACAAAAGGTCAATCAAGAGTCAAGCTGCTCTATTAATGTCACTGAACAATCTGAATAGAAACCATCAAATAAGAATCTAATGTACTGTGTAAACTTTCACTGAAAAAAGTGAAAAAAAATTTTAAAAGCTAAATTATTCTATTTTCCACAAGTTTCTGTAGGAGAG